TGTCAGTCAGAGCATAACCCGGATGCGAAAGGGTCAGTCCAGCGCTGCTGCCTCCACCTGCACCAGCAACGGTCATAAGTACAGAGTTTGCAAAAATGGCTCGCCGGTACACCGTCGAAGCCATCATCACTTTCGCCTGCGTAGAACCGAGGATCCGAGTATTTCCATCTCGCTGACCTCCGGTGAGCAGCCGACCGACTGCCAGGTCACCAAGTCTCGGCGCAGCACGCAACAGAAACAGCTTGATCGACGTCAGCGGGCACAGACAAAACTCACAATCATGCAAATCTGCGTCATATTTCTGTTTCTGGTGGGTCAGATACCGCAGGCCTTCTCCTTTGAGAAAATATCCAATGTGATACTGCCGGCTGACTGTGGTAGATGTTGCAAGTTAAAGAATTACTATCGACTGTGCAGTCAAGTTCTCAGTTTGGTCAGTTACTCCCTGCCTTTTGTAATATATATCTCGCTGAATAAGCGCTTCCTCGAGGTGCTTCTCAGTGGCTGTCGGTCAAAAAATCCGGACAGAAATGAAGCGACATATCGATCCCATGTGGGCTAACTGACGACATCCAAAATCGACGGGGTGGAAATCCGAAAGCACCCCGCGGTGATATCTGTTTCCTAAAGTCCGACTGAGAACACGGAAGAGTAACGCTGGATATGGACCTACTGAGAATCGCGTCAGAAGGCTAACATACCGTTTTGTACCTTCATCGAACGCCTTAGGGTAACCAAAAACTCATTGTTGAAAGCGGGGTCTCCAGGTGCCATGTTACAAAACTATTATAATATATCCTTTTTTTAAGTAACTCACCTCCACAGAAGACCTGTACATCACAAGCGAACAAGATTATTATTATATTTTAGTTTATTTTGTGTCGTATTTAAGAATGCAAAGTATTTTGATTTGAACCCAAAAACTGCAAGCAGCTTGCAGTAATTTTTGAAAAGTTCAGGCACAAGTAAGCCTCGGCTATGGCTGCTGATTTATCATTGGAACTGGTACACAGGAAATATCCAAATCCGTAAAGCATGCAAAGGATGCCACTTGGCAAACACCAGCAGCATATAAAGTACACTGCTGAGCACAGCATACGATTTGCGCAGGCTTTACTGGTGACAGTAAGCGGATGGATTATAGTGGACGGAATAAAATCTGCTCTTTATACAAATATGACGGCCAGATGGAATGAGTAGATTTGGGGATCTGTCCCTAGACTTCCAAGCAAGGAGAGCACCCGGCTGCTCAAAGATGAACGCGGTGACTGGCCGGGAAAGACAGAGAGATAAGTTAACTGTTTGATGCTATCGTAGGCAAACATAAATTGCCGACAAAGGCAAGGAAGACTGAATAGGAATTTCATCAGCCAGTCATACCCAACCCTAGATTGGGTATTGCAGGGGGTAAAGTGAGTTAAAACCAGCAACTGCGATCTTCAGACCATGGTTACTT